CCCCTCGGGAGTCCCGGGGAGGAGAAGCAAGGCAGGGAGTCCTGCCCCCCCACGCCACGCCGCCCCGGGAAGGGCCAGAGGCCCTTTGCCCTCTCGGCCGCCCCCCAGGAACCCCAAGGCACTGCCCTCCTGCCGGGGTCGGCTCTTTCCCCTCCCCCCCAGAGGCCCTGCCACCCACCCCCAGCCCTTTTTTCCTTGGAGAGAGCCAGAGTCTTTGGATTGCCTTTCCTATAGGCTGCACCCCGCCACACCCAGAATGGGAGAGGAACTTTTCAGCCGCCCCCCCACCCCACCCCCAGAGGCGTCTTCTTCAGTTTCTCCTACAAAGGGGGTTCTCCCTCCCAGGGATGAGGAGCGAACAGACCCCAGCACCAGACTGATGACTCTGCCCCTCAAATGGGCCATGAACCAGATGCAGGAGCTCAGTCTCTCGTTGAGCAACTCAGATGGGGTTGGAAGCCATGGGCAGGAGGCAGAGGCTAACATAGGCCACTCTGATTCCAGCCCTGCTGGGCGAGGAAAACACCCACATCACCACCTGGGTGTTGCTTAGGCACAGTTTGCCTTTGGGGAACCCATGGACCTTCTTAGGGTGGTTGGGAGGTGGTGGCCAGGATCCTAAGGACTACCTCAGGCCAACTCTGGGACTCGCTTGCCCTGCCTGGGCTTGAGGCTTGATGGGTTTTGCATGCTTGCTTGTCAAGCAGTGTTTCACAGAGGCCCTTCCTTTGGGCACTATTGAAGAGTGAATTTTGTGTGTCTTGGAGCCTTCCGGGTGTTTGGAAGCAACTTCCTGGTTCCTTCTTCCAGGAAGGCTACTATGTTTTCCATTACAGTAAAGCTGCCAAAGTCCTGGCTTGGTCAGGCCCCTTGCGGCCTGGTTCTTCCCATGCTGCAGCTTTGCCAGCCCTTTCTGTTGCTCCCGTGGCCTGTGGGTTTCTTGCCACTTGTGAGAGTCTGTTCATGTTGTTTTCTTCTTTCTAGTGCATCCCCTCTGGCAAAGCCCGCTCACCATTCCAGGAGGCAGCCGGCAGTCCCCGATCAACATCCAGTGGAGCGACAGCCTTTTTGACCCCCGCCTGGAGCACCTTGAAATACGCTATGATCCCGCCACTTGCCTCCACATGTGGAACAACGGGTACTCCTTCCTGGTGGAGTTTGAGGATTCCACGGACAAATCAAGTAAGAGTGGCAGAAGTGACCCACGCCGACCATTCCCCGCATAACTCTGGTTAAGGCTTAGAGGCCAGTGTTCCCCATCATGCAAGAGTCGTGGGACTTGGTGTGCAGTAGCAAAGGCAGCTGCCAGACTTTGCCACTAGATGTCGTGGGATGTAATTACATTGCGAGACCACTGCCCTCTTTTCTAAGGGATGATAATGGAGGGCTTGAGAACACTGGCCTTATTTCTGCCAGGATATACTTGACCGTTTGGGTGGGAAGAAACCTGCACAGCTGCTCTGGAGTCAGTTCTGTGCTTTCATCTCTCCAAGTGAGAAGTATAGCTTCAGCACTAAACATTAATGAAATAAAAGGTTGCTTATCACTTGGGCTGTATTTACAGATAAGCTTTTCAATAACATGCTTGAAAATACCTTGAAAGCAAGATAAGCACTCACTTTTTTGGAAAGCATGTTCTGCTGTTGTTCTCCTTGGAAATATTTAAACCTGAAGGGAATGAATAGAGACCACCCCTGCAGCCCCACAAAAGCAGTCCTTTGAAAAGCCCCCCCTCCTCAATTCTTTAAATGAAATCTTTGTTAACTCTCCCAAACAAAGTGTTCTGTGCTTAATGTCGGAATGGGTTGCAGCCATTGTAGACAGGGACGATAATGCCATCTTTGAAGCCATTCAGGGATAATTTGCCTGGCCTGTAAGTAGAATAAATGTTCTTTGCATGCAAACCTTTTGGGGCTGGAATATCTACGAGTCTTCATTCAGGGAGCCGTGCATTGCAAGCATTTGAGTTGAGTCCAGTTCATCCAGCATTTGTGTCCAGGCATGGAGGTCCTTCCAGTAGGCGTCTTATGTTTATTGAAAACAGATAGAGATGCAGGGCGAGACGGAACAGCCTGCTAGGAGAAAGAGAGAGCCTTGCTTTGCAGGAGCAGTCTCTCTCAGCTTAGTTCTTTGCATCCTGATGTTGGTCTACTTTTGTACTTCCTTCCAAAAGTTATTCAGAGAGGCCACTTTGTGATTATGCCAGTTGTGGCAAACTCCTAGAGCAGTTGTGCACTCCCAGGTGAGTCACTTTGCCCCATAAACTTCAGCTGCTCACCTGCTTTCCTCTTGCCTCTGAAATCCTGCACCATGAGACCCTTTCAAATGGTGCAATCGTCAGCTCTGTCTGAAAATTCTTCTCAGTATATACAAACCTATTCCTTTTTTAGATCAGCATTTAGTCAAGTGTTTATGCGTTGTTTAGAATTAGACATCCAGGTCAAGATTTAATAAACCCACCTTGGTGCTGCACTTCCCAGTCTTTTTGACTGATGCAGAGCATCCTTTTAACAAGAGCTAGACTGGGACAGCACTGAAAAAGATGGCTTTTTCCTTACTTTACTCTCCCGCTTCTTCTCTTTGTGTTTTTCTGAATCATAAATGCACGATGTACGCCTCCTTCCTCATTCGCCTATGGTGCTCTTTTCTTCTTTTGTTTTCTCTCCTTCTTCTGCTGAGCAACAAAAATAAAAAAGAAACACGGATAGAGAAGAGGGAAGAAAAAGGATTAAACCTAGAAGTTAAGAAAGAAGAGCAATTCAGGAAGCTGAATAAAGGAGACGTAGAAATGCAGCAACGCCCAGATTGAGTTCCTGCCTAAATTGAGGCTAGTTTTGCTGCTAGAAGGCAAAAAGGAGGAGGACTTGAGAAGGACAGGTATGTTGTGAGGGTTGTGTGTGCAGGGTTGCCATCTGCTGGTGGACACGGGGCTTGGAGCGTGGTTCTGGTCTGCTAGAAATGGCAGCCAGGAGATTTTGCCAGTGAGTCATAGAGGTTTTGTTTGTACTGCGAGCAGCTTGTGTGGTTCAGGAGCTAAAGACTCTGACAGAAAACCTGGATTAGGACAGTGGCTTCAAAAGAGCCAATCAGAAATGCACAAATATTTGTGCTCCAGATTATTCTTCAGGTTGGACAGGAAGGACAGCAGGGGTGGGACTTGGCTGGTACTGAGCTGTGGAGGCGGCCTCTCCCCGCAGCCTTAGGGGGAGATGGCAGACCCCAGGGCTCCAGCATCCACTGGCCTCCCTCTCCCCACCACACAGGAGGTGGTGCTGGTCCTGGTGTGCGCCCAGTGGGTTGGACGGCTGCAGCCGTAGGGAGGCTGGTGGGAGTTGAAGTGCAGCAAATCTGGAGGGGAAGGCAGGCGTAGGTGTTTCACTTGGAAGGGCACAGGACTCAGAAAAGAGGCTGTCTGTCCACTACTCCTCCTTCCCACCCCAGCCCAGATATCGCCTTCAGACTCATATTTTCTTTTACTACTACTACTGCTATTTATTTTATTATTATTAGTAGTAGTAGTAGTAGTGCTACTACTACTGCTATTTATTTTATTAGTAGTAGTAGTAGTAGTAATCTATCAAATTACATAACATAAACCTACTAACACACACACACACACACACACACACACACACACACACACACACACATAAATACAATTACATATCACATTAGTGCCACCATCACTCTCAGGGCTAGCATTAATAATGTTCTAAATTTCATTCAATTCATTTTCTCTCCCAAACTTTATTGTTTCTTCCCTCAGTGTATACCCCTTCCCTCTCCAAAATACATATTCCAGGAATACACTCCATATTTTCTTAAAATCATTACTTTTTGATAAGCTTCTTCTTACATTATTTTCATATCACATATCAATTTATCATTAATTGCCATACCCCATAGTTCTCTATACCATTCTCATTGAGTTGGTTATCATTTTTCCAGTTTCTTAGAAAAAATTAACCTTGCTGCCATAATCATTATTACTATTACCATATTTTGTCCCATTCTTCACCTATTACTTTTTTATCCAAATCATATTGCCATTGAATTTTAGTCCTTGTGTATCCTGTTCGGCTTGAATTAATAATTTATATATTTGACTCACAGTTCCCTTTCTTTCTGTTTTTTTTTTCTCTGATTTCACTCTTTTTTCAATAATCTCTTCAAATTTTGTCTTGTGACAAACACCTGTATTTTCAGCAGATGCCCTCTTTTTTCAGAAGACCGAGGAAGATTCTGGCCCCTTCATTTTGTGCCCAGCTTAGAACAAAGGGGGCAGTGCCATTTCGCAGATCCTGCTACTGATGTGCTTAACGTCTGTTTGGCCGAACTCTATAGATGCCTCTGTTCAGAAGTCATTCCTCCTTGACTCTGATTAAACTTTCTCGCACAGGGATGCGTGCAGAATCACACCCTCCTGTCTCCTGACACCTGTCTTTTCTTCTGTCAGTTATCACAGGTGGCCCCTTGGAGAACAACTACCGGCTGAAGCAGTTCCATTTTCACTGGGGGGCCGTCAGTGAGTGGGGCTCTGAGCACACAGTGGATTGCAAGGTCTTCCCAGCAGAGGTAAGGAGGGGGGGAAGGGGAGGAGGGTTATTGCCCCCCCCCAAAAGGAGGCTTTTGGCTCACTAGACGTGTGTCGTGGGGTGAGATGGGGCCAGATGTAAAGAGGCGAGGGCCAGTGTTGAACCCCCTCCCGCAGGCTGCTCCACCTCCTCCTAGGAATAGGGGAAGCAGCCAGGAATCCACTTTTGATTTCAACACACACACAACCCATTTTCTTAACTTTTAAAAAACAGAGCAGGAGGCAAAGTGATAGGAGGGCTACCTGAACCTGTTGCCCCCAATGTTGGCCGTAGGTAGGACAGTCCTTTTAGTTCCCTGGGGAATTGATCTCTTTTCTCTGTCTATCAGATTAAATGGATTCCCAGGACCCAACCATCTTTCTGTATCTGTGTCTTCTGTTCTGCCCCCACGTGCTTTATATGCAGCCAGCACCCTTGGGGAGCCAAATCATCTCCTTTAGGACCCCCCCCTCCAGAGGGGTGGCTGATTCTCCTAACCTGTTCCTCACACCCTTTAAAGCAAAGCACTCCCCATTGTTCCCTTCCAGCTGCATTTGGTACACTGGAATTCTTGCAGATACGGCAGTTTTGAAGAAGCATTGATGGAGGAGAATGGGTTGGCTGTCATTGGAGTCTTTTTGAAGGTAGGACAGTGAGAAACCCTACAATTCCGATGATCTGTTCTTCACCAGGTAACAAAAGAAGTGCTTTTAAGTCATCTTTTTAACTTTGATGGGAAAGGGATGATTTTAATATTACAGTGGTATTATTAGTACAACAACAAGCAAGGATGCATCGTGTTGGGTAACTGATCTATGAGATGTCAGAGAACATGGAGGTTGGGCTGGAATAAATGGAGATAAAATATAATTAGAGGAAGGGGACAAGGAAAAAGGGACTTTGGGCACATTCCATTACCAGAGTGGAAGGAAGAAAACTGCCAGTATTTGTCTGTAAGTCAGCAATACATCAGCAGTCTGTTGATTATGAACATCACAGTCCTTGCGCATCCCACAGCGTAGCATTGCAGGGGTTTCATCTGTCAGCCTGTGAAGCGCAAAGAGTAAAAACTTACCTGTTTCTGTTTTTTCACCAATAGCTTGGGGCTCACCACAGTGGCCTACAGAAGTTAGTTGATGCATTGCCGTTAATTAAACACAAGGTAATAGGACACTTTCCTACATCTCTGCTGTACAGCTAATGGTGGGTGAGCTCTGGCATGGCTCAGAAGCTGGGCCAGACTGACACAAAGAGCATGCCTGCATGCCGCATGCGCGCGTGCTTCATTCTCATTTAATATTCCTGAACGGGTTAGAAGTGGAAGAGGCTCCTGGTCTGAGAGAGTGAGAATTCAGCGGCTAGTTGGTATTTTGCTTTTCCTGCCTTGGGAATTCTGGGCATCTGGAGGGGGTGGGGATGGTGGTTGGTGGGGAGGGAGGGAGGGACTTGCCGGCAGGCAGAGGAAGTGTTCTCTGGGGGGGTTGTGCTCCTGGTGTGTTAACCAGAAGGCCAGGGGTTTCTCAGGCTCTCACTTCCTGTAGCGCTCACTCCCACTGAGAACGAGACATTTCTTTTAGAGTGGGACTGGCAAGCTCAGCAGGGCTGAAGGATTTGCCAGCAGCCTGAAGGGGGAAACACCTTGATCTGCATGTGCATCATATTTACGTGTATAGGTTAACAAACAGCACTTCACCCAAGGTCTTTCTGGGTCTGTGTGTGTATGTAATGGGCACCTTTCCCCCCCCCCCCATCAAGGCTCAAGAGCAGATCCTCTTTTGGAATCTTACCGAGACATGGTGGCTGGAGAACATGGGAGGTTCCCAAAAGGAACTTCCCGCAGTGCTGGCATATGCCCGGGGTGGGCAGGGCTGTTGCTGTCCTTCTCCCCCCTTCCCTCAGAATCATGCATGGCCCTCGTTCTTTCTCTGTCCTTGTTTCTTCTAAGAATTTTTACGGAAACACCATAGCGTTGGAGGGGGTGGCAGCCTGGCATGGAGAGCCAGCCCTGTACCTCCAAGCAGGCCATGACAGGGCCATGAGGGCAGCAGCTTCCTCCATTCGGTGGCTCCCTGACATTGAACGTGGTCTCTAGCCATCCTGACTAGTAGCCGCAAACCAGCCCTGCCTCAGTGAACACAAACCGCCCCCTTTTAAAGCCCAAGCCATCCATGTTAGCAGCTATCCCAGTATCCTATGGTACTGAGTTCCACAGTTCTATCCAAACTATCTTTGGTCTTGACGCTTGATTGTGCTAGGATGCTATTGTTGAGCTGGAGGACTTTGACCCGTCCTGCTTGCTGCCGTCGTGTCCCGATTATTGGACTTACTCTGGATCTCTGACCACCCCACCGCTCTCAGAGTCTGTCACATGGATCATCAAGAAGAAGCCAGTTGAGGTCGATGAAGACCAGGTACAGCAAGTGGAAATTCCCTGCTGGGGTCCATTGTCTCGCTGGGGGTGGAGGTGGGGAAGGGGAACAAACATTGTGAGCCCAGAAGCTGCCTACGAACAGCTCCTAGTCTAAGACCTCTTTGGCTACCTTTGCAAGTAGAAAGGCTGGAGTCAGTCCCGCGAACACCTGGGGCCCATTGCGGCCTCGGCCAACTGCACCTGAGAGTGGTGGGGGTTTGTCCATAGTTGGGAAGGGACAGCAAAAGTCACGCCTTAACTCAGCTCTGGATGAGAACTGAGCCATCATCAGCAACAGAACTGGAGAGAGTTCCTGAAAAGGAGCTCGGGAGGGAGCAGTGTCATTCCCTGCCCCACCCTCCATCCCCTTCCAGTTCCAGTTCAGCTCTAGACTCGGCCATCTCTCTCCCTTCCCAGCTGGAGGTGTTTCGGATGTTGCTTTTCACACCAGCGGGAGAGGAAGAGAAGAGGATGGTGGACAACTTCCGACCCCTTCAGCCAATCATGGATCGTACCGTCCGCTCGTCTTTTCCAACTAATCACCGGCTGAAGGTTCTGCCCAGATGCGAGGAAGACATTGACCGGGCCCACAATCAAGCCACCCATCAGGATACGGCACATCTTTAGACAGGAAACCACAAATCAAAATGTAACTCGCATTTCATATTTACCTTAGTGTATCTCTAGATGCGTAACGTTGGAGGAGGCATCTGGTCCTTTTTTCCCTCCTTTCTAACAATCTGTCTTTCTGCAGCAGAAGAATGTCCTTTCCCGAAACCTTTCCGGCCAGTGAGAATTCCCAGGCTGGTCCACCATCCAAAACTCCTCTGTGGCCCCTTTTTGGTGTCCCCTCTCGTCTGCAGGCTGAGCAGCCCCAAAAGGAAAACCCACAGTGGGACAAAGCTGAAGCTCTGGGCAAACAAAACACCTAGGCCTTAAGAGAATGCTTAGTCCCAGGTCAAGTACTGTATACCCACCAAAACCATAGGGATGTGGTAGATTCACACTTTTGTAAATTCTTTTGATTCAGTGGGTTTACTCTACTTGGTGGGACTCTCTAGATATTAGCTTTTTTTCAGCGGAGCACTCTGTTCCAATCCTGTCTACCTCTGGAATGCATCAGCTGTCGCATTATCAAGTTTTGTATTTTTTACTGGATGACTGAATCCAGTAATAAGTCACAATTAGATTAGTCCCATTGAAACAATGGGGATTTGACCATTCAACTCCTTTGTAAGTTCCACTGATTCAGTGGGCCGCCGCTAGTTGCAACTTAACTACATTTTTGCCACTCTTTTATAGAAAGGAGACATGGCTTAGCTGTAATAGAGTAAAAATAGCCTTATTCCATAAAGCAGTGGAGTGAGTAAGTTCAAGACTATATTTCTAAGCACACTTACTTGGAAGAAAGTTCCATTCAACTCAGTGGAACTGACTTCATGTAAATATATATATGTACGTGCTTGCAGCATATATATTTACTTTTGCGGCTGAGGCTCTTATACATATATTTTATCAAGAGGTTCCTTTGTTTTCAGCCAGTAGACTGATCTCAAGACACAACAGAACCACATGTGTAAACAAAATTGTCAGTACAAATGGAACAGAGGCAACATGCTGCAGCTTAGAAGTCACTTCTGCTATGGCGCTCCTGTGGTCTGGCGTGTGCTGGAACAAAGCCTCAGCTTTCTGCGCAGTTCAGATTTTCTCAACCATTACAGAACAGTATTGAGGAGTTCTCTGTTACAGTTTTAGCATTTAAGCCTCAGCAACCATGTTCATTTTTGAAGGTGGTGCTTAAACAACAGGGTAAGCAGTTATGTAGCCATTGCATTGGCTGTTCTTTAAGCCGGAACCCTTTTTGGTGGCATAATTTACTGTCATAATTTGTGTTCATGTTTCTGCAGTCTTCTCATTCTTGTGCTCTACCCTAGGTAACAGATTTCAGTTCACTTCCATCCAGTCAGTGGATAGAACAAGGCTTGTTTTCGGCAAGGGTATAGACTGATGGACCTTTCTGCCAAATATAACTCAAGCTTGGCAGAAATTAGAATATGGCCAAGGCTGTGCAGATATCCTCAGACTGATTTATTTTAGGAGGGTGTGTAGAGAGGGCAGCAGAGTTTGCTTGCTTGCTTGCTTGCTGGACAGTTTTGTCACTTAGGGAAGGCAGTTGCTGCCTTTCCACCTGTGGTGGTGACAAGCGATGCCCCCAGCTGGCATTGACGTGGCTTTCAGGAAACTGGATTGGTGCCCAGACTTTTAAGTTGTCTTCGTGATTTATGTTAATGAGAGAGAAGTTGATTTCTCTACCGTTTCTTCTGTTTCTATATTCAAAGTAATCTGATTTATCCTGAGATTAGTATAATAGGGGAATGATGGGATTCTTGTAGGGTTGATCTGTGTTTCCCCATTCCACCTCCCACCTCAGCTTAGCGTACCAAGCAAAAAGAATGTATAAACTCTTACGTTTCCAACTTTCAAAGCATGTTTTTAAGGTAATGAGTCAGTTAAGCAGAACATGTATCTGTGAACCTTTTCTTCTGTTGCCCAAAGTTACTTCAGTTTTATCCTCTCTTTGAAAGGAACTGGGAGGGAAAATGAACAGTTTCATTGTACAGAGAGTGTCTCGAACTAGATAAAAACGCCACTGGGATGGAAGAACAATTGCGGACTGTGTTGCGGCATTCCCTGAAGAACAATGTTAACGGTTCATTATGCTCTTGGACCGCATGAATCATGGACTCCAAAAGCAAATTGTGTTTTGAAGACCATTGTGTTTGTCTCTTCGCTTCAGCAGTGACCATAAAGGAAAACCAAGCAAACTGTTTCCCAAGTATCTTTTCATTCCACAAACTTCTCGTTTTGAAAAGTGTGAGAGCCCCTCTGGGGTGTGTGTGGGGGGGGAGTGTTGAGGGAGCTGGCAGGACTCTTCCCTCCCTGCTTTCTGGCGGGATGGCATTGCAGTGACGCACTAGACTCTTTTCTGGGCTGGGAAGCTGGGACAATAGCCTTTTGTGGGACTTGTAGGCCAAACAGCCACATCCTTCATACCCAAAGGGTTGCAGAACTTGCTCAGCAGGATCTGGACCGGACTGGCTATCAGAAGCATGCAGGGCTCCCTTGCAAGCTTTGTGGGGTAGGCCTCGTGTGAGGAAAACAACTTATAAATGCCACTGACCTGCCCTGGGAATAGACCCACCAACAGCAGGTGGGCAAGTGGATCGCCACTGAGAGAAACCCTGTTGACTTTGGTGCATCTGCGTATCCCACATGTGGGGTCAGGTCCACCTCGGCTGGTGCAAAGGAGGGTCCCGCTTCCCACCGGCCTTTGCCACCCACTCCAGCATGTTCACGGAGTCTTCTGCTGGGGTGTGGGAGACCCTCTGGAGTTGCAGGGATATGGCCGAGGGGGCTGCAGTAGGTCGGGTGGATCGGCTTGGTTTGCCCAGGTGGAAATGTGAGGCTGCCGTGCAGTGTCGCTCAGAGCATGCGGACAAAACCATTCAAGAAAACCGTCTCCTCTTGCACATCTTTCTCAGCAGCACTACAGAGTGAGGCACCCTTTAAAAAATTTTTAATCTCCCCCTCTTTTGTATTGGCCTTACCCCATATTCTCCCATTCCTTCCTAAGAGCAGGGCAACCTCTAGAGACTTTGGCATGAGTCACATTTTGGTCAGAAACGCCGGCATTGCCCCATTTCATGACTCTCTTGGGATTCACGCAAAGAGCTGGGGGAGCATTTTGCAAGACCCTCATGGGCATCCCTGCAAAGCCACGGCTTGTGAAGAACAGAACAGAAGGTGTGCAATCTGAAGCTAGCTGTGCACATTTCTCTGGGAAAAGTTTCTCTCCTTCGACGTGTAGCATCTGTGACTGAACTGCATCCCAATGCAAGTGGCTCATGTCAGGCACCACTAAAGTTTCCTCTTTTTCAAAAGCTGTCTGGACAGAGAATCCTCATGGTGTTTAGCAAATACAGTAACTCAGATTTTGGAACAAGGTAGTTGTCCTGACTGTTGCGTTGGAAATAATCTCTGGATGATCTCCCGGTCATGGGGCCACTTCACGTTTGCTGAGAGTTTAATGATGCCGGAGGGGAAGAGTCCCTTTGATGTGACAAACAGGGCTTCTCTGAGCCTGAGCACATGGAGCAGGGATCCTGGTAATCAAATCCTCTTCAAAGCCACTGTGGCTGAACCCAGAGGCCTGAGCAGAGCAGCGATAGCAGGGGCAAGCGGCAATCCGAGCCGCTCTTCTTACCTTTCCGAGGGTGACTTCAAAGCTCTGCCTGCGAAACAATCCGCCAGCCTTCCCTTCCCCTCTGCCGAGGTGGGCAGAAATGCAGAAGCCAAAAGGGGGTGCTTGGGCCACGGGCTCAGCGTGCTAGACCCACCCGGGTTGGCATCCTCACCCAGTGTGGTGCCGCACGTGAGCCTGTGGGGCGGAGGAGGGCCAGGCTCTCCAGCCTCCTCTCTAGGAGCTGAGAGCAGAAGCCGCCAGAGGGCAGGATTGGATAACAGGAAAAGACAAGAAGTGGTCCTGGACTCCTCTCTCTGTGCGTGTGCGCGCGCGCGTGCAGTGCGCATAAACACACACACACACAAAACCCAGAACCTGGCTTCTGGTGAAGCAGAGCCCTCTCTTTTTCAGGTGCGGAGTCGGAAGAAAACCCAGGAGGCACCTTCTGGTCTACATACCCTGTATGGGAAAGTGTGGGTTATCCGTACTTCTCCGACTGGCACCTCATCCAGCCTGGCTCCCTTGTGCCACACGGCCCTTGGGGAGGTTCCTAATCCACAGGGGCAACCTTTGATAGCACCTCACAGCTATCAGACGGTAGGCGCTCGGACCGGCGTGACAAGAGTGCCAGGCTAGGATGCCCCGCTTGGTGGCCCGGGTAAAACCCCTTCTCACATTCCCTCAAAACCCTGTTAGGGTCACCGTTACGTTGCCACACCTCAAACGCACCCATGACACACACACACACCCCGAAATCAATGGAATGATCAAATCCCGGTCAACTGGCAGAGCAGGGTTGGCTCTTTCCCGGCAGGTAAATCCTTTTCGGTTCCCTTGCCCGCTGAAATTATTCACGTATTTATTGAAACGATTTTTAAAGAGACCATTCTATTCGGTGTTTTTAATCTTATGAGTTTCTATGCAATCGTTGTTTAATTTTATTTTTTTTTAATTTCTAATCAACAAAGGCAGCGGCGGCGGCGTCTTTCTCCCTAGAAGGACCCGGTGGGAGGCAGAAGGATGATGCCCTGGAAGTGACGAGAGCGGCCGGGGCTCCCTCCCGCTCCCTCCGCCAGCCCTGGCCGCCGGGCAAAAGAGGAAGGCATTGACGGGAGCCCGGGAGGGGCCAGCGAGACGGCCGGCCTCCCTCCGACCCGAAAAGGG